CAGCATTTGTAGTATTGACAACTAACGAGGAAGAGAGCTTTTTATTTCTGTCACAGAATCACAGAATACCAAAACCTTTACAGCAGTCAATTTTGACAAGTGTCAATGTTTGACAAGTTTATAAAGTGCACAGAATAGGTCCGTAAATCACACAGGACGATAATAATATTGTGTTTAAAATAAATCTAAGATACGAGTATATTCATAATATTTTTGACATTACTAATTTCATTAAAATGCAAACTTTTTAAAAGCTTCGAGTTTGAAAATGTCTGCTCATGAAGTCGGTCATGTCGGTATGTTTAAGTCAATATTAAAGCTGTACTTTGTCGTAATTTCAGAACTCAAAAAAGTTATTTAAAGTGCATTGAGATTACGTATTAACAATGCTTTGCGAGCTATTCCTGTTCACATAAAGGATTCATTCAATTTATATGCAAAATTATATTGATTCCTCTGATTCTATCATTTGTCTGAGATTAGTTTGGCAAAAGAAAATTTAATAACTTAGATTAGAAAGTTTTTATACTCAAGTGTATTGTGCACTTCCTGCTCGCATCAGAGGATGAACAGTAGCAATAAGGCAAAATTATACATATCGTTTTGAAAGGACACAGTATGTGAGCTGGAATGACGTTGAAATAAGATAACCTATGTGCTCTGCTCGGTTTCATTGCAAAATGTTTTGCATTTCTTATTTTTTATTACTCAACATATTTTGAGAAATAATGCAAGAACGTAATGCATAAAAGTACCAATATTTCAAGAAACTGTAGAAAAGTTCAAAAGTAGAAAAACTTTTGGTTCTAACTTCTACAGAGTATAGGATATCAGGAGTCAGGTTAACAAACTTCTTATTTATTATTTAGTTTAAATGTTAACATTGCATAGATAAGATTTCTTAACTGCAATCTATGAGAAGAAAAACCATTTACTATTTTTTTAATAGCAGAATAAAGCGCAATGGGACTTAATTAAGGATTAATTTTTGTTTAAAATTTGTTTTTTATAAATGATTTATACAGAGTGGCTGACGAAAATTGCAATAAAGGAAAACGCTCTATTTTCTTTCTTTCTTTTTTTGGCTTTAACTTTAAAGAAATTTAAATAGCCTTCAAACGGCCAATGAAGCTATTCCACGCTGCCCGCAAATGGCTTAACGGTATGTTGACCCATTCTCGGCTTAGCGCTTGCTTCAGACAATCGAAATTTTGGTATGTTTTAGTGACAACATTACTTTTTGAAATACCCCAGACCGAGAAATCTAAAGGATTTATATCAGGTATTATATCAGGTCACTTTGTTGATGGAATAACGGAATATTTAAACTATTCTTGATTGAAGCGTGCTTTATGCGACGGTGCTGAGTCCTGCTGGTATGTACAATGCCTGCGATCAAAATGCTCATCTTT